GCGCGTTTCGCTGGCCGCACTGACGCGCGGGCACTTTAGCGAGTCGGTGACTTGGACGTGCGCGGTATCATGGCGACGTTGACAACGGCAGACACGATGATGACATTAGTGATGCCGGCTACAAAAAACAATGACGACGGCAAGGCCAATGACGGCGCCGCACTGGATGAAGATATTGAAAACCATTGGTTTTCGTAAGAATTAACTAGAGCGGCGCGCAGATCTCTTGGACACGTAATGCTGCAAAGCCAATGTTCAGATAAGCTGCCAGGGAACGCGATTTCGATTTTCTAACGAAACAGGAAGAATTTTTAAATATTTCAGCATGCGCGCGCGACGGCGCGCGCATATGAAAGTTGTTACGTTTCTGTTGTATTGAAATGTTGCTGGCGAATGATTCTGATACAACACATGCGCACGCGTAGTATCATGTGTCAGGGACGACTGGGGGGGAGGGGGCGTTGATGCTGGCCTGGCTGGCACGATACAAAAAATATCAACAATAAGTATGTAAATTGCACTATCAGAAGGCGATATTTCCAGAGGTGGGATGGTAGATCCTAATGTCAGCTCAGAAATGGAAAGAAACACTATGTGGTGCAAGTATGTTATGCAATGAGCGCGGTGTGCTGTGTGCGTGGCGCTATAACGGTGTACGTTGCGCAATCTATGTTGTGCGATCGATGTTGTGCAGTCTATGTTGTACGATCGATGTTGTGCCCTATGTGGTGCAATATGCGATGTACGTTGTGCGGTCTATGTGGTGCCGTCTATGTGGTGCAACTCTTGTTATAATTCGACGTTGTCAACATCACTGCTCGCGCAACCACACCACCCACCCACCCGCAACTCGATTTGCAAAACCCATGCTGCGCGATTGCGATGACTGCTTCGCGCTGGTTCGCGCGCAAAGCGGCCAGCGAGTCTGTCGCGACCGACGCTGCCGCGGTGGCGTTGACCACCGGGCATTTCCCAGCGCGTCTCGCGGGCCACGCGTGCGCGCGGGAATTTCACTGCGATTCGGTGACTCGGGCGGGGGCGGTATCATGGCGACGCCGGCGACGGCAGACACGACGATGATCGTAGCGATGCTGGTGGCGATGGTGACACTGACGACGTCAAGGCCAATGACAGCGCCGATGCTGATCGCGCCAATGACGATGATCCTGTCCACGTCTTGGTGACGGAGGTTTTGGACAACGCTTCGATATGCGCGCGCGGCCGACGCGCGCGACTGGCCCGCGTGGTATCATTTGACTAGGATCGCCCCTCGCCCCCCCTCCCCCCCCGCACGCTTGCACGCGCTCAAGGACATGCGCGCGCGATGAGGCCCGCTTGGTCGCATGTGATGAAAATTTTGGCAACAATGGTTTTCTAAGCAAAATGTCAGAGCGCGCGAACGCAGGCTTGTTTGAAACCTTCTGCTGCACGTGTTTTCGGGACGACCCCGTAAGTTTCACATGTTCACGAAACCTTTGTAAGTTCTGGAAAGATTATGGCATGCTCGCGCGACGATGCGCGCGTGTGGACTTCGTCATTTGTTGCAATGGTGCCTTGCAAATGTGTGATTTGCAACAAACGAACGCGCGCGCACCGAAGTGCTTGCACGGGGTCGGAGGGCGAACGCGGTTAGGATGAGGTGATATGACGATGTATGTCAAATGAATGGTGGGACAGAGTAGTATGGAATTTGCACATCCCCAAAGATCGCGGATAAACCTCCCGGGGGGAGAAATCGCAGTCCCTGTTTGGAAACAGGAAATTCTACGCGGCGCGGTCTATGTGGTGCAATGTATGCGGCGCGATCTCGGTTGTGCAGTCTATGTATTGCGATCTATGGTATGCAACCGATGAGCTGCAATCTTTGTGGTGCACTCTACGTGGGCCCTCCCGCCCGCATCTGGGCCTGCAAAACTCAGAAGGTCGCGACTGCAGTTACAGCGTGAAACTCGTCCGCAAATTTCATCGATCTCAGTGGCACGCGGGCCCTCGTGGCGCGGGCAAGGTCCATCCTGCGGGAGACAGCGCGGACGACAGTGTCGACAAACGACGATGCGGTGGTTGGCAGAACCCATAAGGTCACGAGTCCAGTTGCAGCGTGGAGCTCCTTCGAAAATTTCATCGTGTCCATTGGCGCGCGGACGCTCGCCGCGCGAGCAAAACCCAACTTGCGGGAGACAGTGCGTGCGGACAACGGCGTCGACAAACGACGACGAGAATGATCACGACGCCCCCGGCGGCAATGATGACGATGACGGTGCCCTGCATGGAACTATTTGACAGGGATCATGCCTCTGGCGAGCGCGAGAGGGCATTGGAATAAATTCGACATGCGCGCGCGAAGGCCTCCTTGGACAGGAAAAAAAGTGGGTTTCCTAGGGATCCGCAAGACCGCGCGGGATGAAATATTGAAAACTTGTTGAACAACCCTTGGGTTGTTTATGTTTTCGCACTGAAATCGCAACGAAAACAAAAGGTTTTGGAAGGATTTCATATTGTGCTCGCGCATGTGGCCCGCATGGTACTATTTCATAAAAAGGGGTCGTCCGTTCAGCTCGTCATAGATCAACGCATGTGCACCGCATTGTATTATTTGACAGGGGCGAGGGGGGGAGCGCGATACCAGGACTAGCTGGGATGGTACAAATTCATAAGGAAAATGAGCAAGGAGGCGTAATCATAGGTAAATTGCACTACCCCAGGGGGGAGTGGTAATCCCTGAGGGGTGGGGGGCATAGAATCTAGTTCACTTCTAGAGAGGGGAGTCCACGTCGTGCAATCCAGGTGGTGCAATCTATGTGGCGCAAATAATGCAAAACCGTGACAAGTTGGCGACTGGGCGGCGACGGCGACAACATAGCCGCCACACCGATCACCAGGCTGAGACGACGGGCGGCGACGAGGCGGCGACGGGGCGGCAACGGCGACAAAATAGCCGCCAGACCGGCAACCAGGCCGAGAAGACGGGCGGCGGCGAGGCGGCGACTGTGACGACATGGCCGCCAGACCGTAACCCCGTCCCCAGTTCCTTCTTCCAGAATCAAGTGCCCTGAAGTGCAAGCAAAGTTTGGGAAGTGTCAAGACACTGGGCCAGCTTCCTGACAGTATCCTGAAACATGCCTGGGCCAAGTTCTCTTGTTGATGCTGGAGGGCGAACGCGCTCAAGAAACTGGGCCAGCTTTATGCCAAGTTGGATCAGAAACGCTGGCCCAGCTTCTCGGGGGGAGGTTTCTTAATCAGATGCTCGACTGTAGGTTTCCAAGCGCATGGAGTCCACACGTATGCTACTCGCAGTCCTACACGAAGGTACGTTTGGGGGTCCACTCCCTGGTGTCACTTGATAAGGCGAAACGGGGCAGCCTGCAGCAGCTATGCGGATGAAGGGGGGGGGGTCAAAATGGGGCTCACCCTCGAGTGTGTACATCCAGATTGATACAGCTAAGTTGAGGTTGGCAGCGCAATCGCTGATGAGGCTTTCTCAAGTTTCAAGCTCTGGATCTCCAACGAATCCTCCTTCTCGCTCACCTCCTCCCGCCACTCTCCCCCTCCACGCGCTGGGGGGCGGGGAATGAGTAGGAGAACGAGATCGACGACGCGGTCACTTTCGTCGTCGTTGTCGTCGTCGTCGACAATGTCGCCGTCGACGCAGTCGTAGCCAAGCCCAGCCCCTGGGGCGCCAGGTGGGGGAGACGCCGGCGTCGTTGTAGTGCTTCTGGATCTTGAGTATGTCGTTGATGCCCTCCACCGAGCGCGTCCTGGGGCGAGGCGCCGCAGGGGCTGGGGGGACAGGGAAGCGAGGACCGAGGTTCGAAACTACTGCTCTTGGACTCTGGCCTTCCTTCTTGAGACTCGTGGGCGGTGCTCGCCGTCTCGGCCAGAATCCCCTGCAATCATTCTGGACAGAACGCAACCCAGGAGGGGTTGATGAGGAGGACCCAGACCTCCAGGGTCTCGAAGATATCGCGCGGGAGGTTCTTCAACACTCTGTGCCTCCAGAGGCTGCTTCCAGGGCGCCAAGGGCCGCCAGCAACAAACAATGCAGAAAGGGGTCGCGAGGTATGGTGCTGGCGAATCGAACGAATCTGGTCGCCGGAGAACTGGCAGGAGGGGGAGAAATTACGCGGCATTTTTGGGACATTCTCGGTCCCATCGCGGCGCTGTCCGCGTCGAATCCCGGCGCGGCGACACTAGGAAAACCTGGCGTCGAATGGAAACATTGTGCCGTGCCGTGGGCGCTCTCGTGCACGCTGCATTCGCATGTCGAAGCCCCTTCTGCTCTCGATGAGCCTGGGAGCCTTCGCCCTGGCGTGACGTCAGTCAGGTTGGGGGGCTGCTCAGCTCGGCCGAAGCCCGCCCAGCTCGGCCGAAGCCGTGCTGCACTAGAACGCTGCACATCGCATTGTTTTTCGTGACGTGGCCCTCCGACGTCGCATTTTTTTCGTGGCGTGGGCCATTGGGGATCTCGACCCCTTCCCCAGGGCCAGCTTTTCGTCCTGAGCAGTTTTCGATGGCCTTAGGCCCGGGGAGCGCGTCGACGAGCCAAAGACTGCACCAAAACACTCCGTCGCGTGCTACTTTAGCGACACGTGGGGTCTAGGCTCAGAAGAGCTTCGCTCCAAACTCCGCTCAACCCCGAATCAGACCCTGATGAAGGGGCCCTGGGACACACAAATAAATAGACACAAATAACAGGATTCCTCATCTTTTTCCATATTTTGGATTGTCGTCCTCCCCCCCACTTCCCATGTTTTCCCATATCCCCGTGGGAAATCAACGATTAATTGTGTCTGGTGTTTTTCCTCCTCGTGACTGGACCCCTCCCTCCCAGGGTCCAACCTGGCTAGGCGTTCGATCTGTGTCCAGCCGTGGTGACGAGGACCTCCAGAAGCGCCCACCACCCAAAAAGGACGACGTCGAGGAGCGACGAGAACCTCTGCCGCGAGAGCGACATGTGGCACGCGGGGGTCGTGATCTGTCTCTCCGAGTCCTGAAGCCCGAGATCACCGTGAAGTGAAAGTCCTCCTTCGCGGGCAGGTGCTTGCGCTCCTCCTGGGCGGAGATCGCCGCTCCGCTCGCTGGTGCCAAGTCGGCACAATAGAGTCACACACATGCATGCCTCGCGTCCCGCACCACCTCTCGGGTTGTCCAGTCTGATGCATATTCGGGGACCTTGTCTGGCCCACCGCGACACAATCCGCGCTGCTGGATCCGTGCCCAACGTCGAATCCACGTCGCATCCGCTGCGAATCCACGTCGCATCCACGTCGAATCCGCGTCGACATCGCGTCGGATGCAAGGAAATACCGTAATCATATGTTTCCTCATCCTCCGCTTCCTCCCCCCACTCCTAGCCCTTTCGATCAGGGTCGGCGGCACCAGCCGTCTGGCCTCTCCAATACCGTAATCATATGTTCGGCACAGACGAATGCCCCCAACCGTGCAACGCACGTCGGCCCAAAGTCAGCCCCCCGGGCAGCCAGTCGACGAACGTCCCGACGAGCATTCCGAGCAGAGATCGGGCACGGGTCATCCCTGGGCCACCCCCGAGGGAGTATGCTGCACCGGATGGACGCGTGCAAAAGGCGCGCGGACAGGTGTACCTTGGAGCCTGCGCCCAAACCCCCCTGGGCGGCCTCGCATCGCTCAGCCCAAAAACCCGTCTATCCGATGCCTGGTGCTTTTTGTTCAGCATGGGGCTCCCCAGAAGACGGCCAGCTATGCGATGCCTGGTGTTTTTTGTTCAGCATGGGGCCCCCAGAAGACGGCCCATTTTCAATTTACACCCTGGCCGATTCTCATGGACGGCCCCAGACGCGGGGAGGCGTGTGCACCTGGGCGCCTCGCGGCTGCCCCCGGGGGGGGCGCCCCTGGACACGCCCGCGGGGCTCGTGGGCGCTGGTCGCCGCAGTCGTCGTCGTCGTCGTCGTCGTCGTCGTCGTCGTCGTCGTCGTCGTCGTCGTCGTCGTCGTCGTCGTCGTCGTCGTCGTCGTCGTCATCGGCATCGTCGTCGTCAGGGTCCTTTTCCTCCTCCTCCTCCTCCTCCTCCTCCTCCTCCTCCTCCTCCTGCTCCTCCTGGCAACGTGCGCAAGGTGGTGACGCGAGGGCGCCGACCGTCCGAGAAGGCGGAAGGCTTCTTGGAAGGCAGAAGCGCCCCGGAGGCCTTCCGAGAAGGCTTCCCAGAAATGGGGAAGAAAAAAAACAACTACCTAAACAGAAACTTTCGCAAACCCGCGGGAAGTATCTGCGATGCCCCCCCCCTTTCCCGCCGCACGAAGCACGCCACGGCGCCAGTGGCGCCGCCAGGGGTACCGAGCGCCGACTCAAGAGCGACGAAATTCACACCAGCCCGCTGGGCGCAGGTGGTTTAATGTCTTGTGTCTTCTCTCTGCCAAAGCTCCCTCATTCTCCTGCTCGGGGGAGGGGGTTTACCCCTCCCCCCCTACCCCTACCCCCTCCCCTGGGCCCGGAATGGGCGCCCCGCGAGGGGTTAGAGCGCCCAAAAGGCCTCTGAGAGCGCATAGTGGCATCCAAGATTGCTCTAGATAGCTCAAGATGGGTAAAGATAACCTCCGAACACACATCCAAGAGACCTCAAGGCGGCCCCAAGACGATTTCAAGTGCGCCCGAAAAAGGCCCCGAGAGAGCCCTAAGAGGGCCTCAAGAATGCCCGAAGAGGATCCGCGAGGACCCCAAGAGAGCCCTAAGAGGGCCCCAAGATGGTTCCGAGAAAACGCCTCCAAGGCGGTTGCTCCACTGCGCTCTTCTGCGCTTCCCTGATCAAGGCAGCTCGCCTGGCATCTATGGCATTTGGTCAAGAGGCTGGCGAGGCGGGTCGACAGCCGTCCAAACACTAGTCGGGCCGCGACTAGGCAGCAGGAAAAGAACGGCAAGCGCAGCGAGCGAGCGGGCAGCCACTCAGAAGGAGAGCCAGAACCGATATTCAAAAATTGGCGGGGGTACTTTTTGTCGCAGCCGCAAGCGAAGGCGCAGGCGGCGTCAAACGGGACGGGCGGGCTACGCGCGAACCTAATTGCCAAACGCGCCGGCAAACCGGAGGCACCTAAGCGGACCGGAAGCGAGAGGTGGTGCGGGCTGCAGCTGCCAGGAAACAGGTCCAGGAGCGAGCGCATGCATAATTAGCCAACCGAGGTTGGGGCAGAGCCAAGATGGCGCGGGAACGATACAAGGATGAAACCAGGAGCACCATCACGAAGGACCGCGAAGCGTCGAGACTTCATGCTTCTTATGCCATTTGTTGCTCCTCGTGCCCTGGGGCGCGGAGGAACCGGGAAGGGAAAAAGCGGGAGGAGCGGGGCAGGGCAGGAGGGGCGCCCCGAGCCGCACAGGGGAAGGGGGGGGGGCGCAAACGGCCGCCGCAGCCCCCGGGAGAGCCCCGTGCCCTTCGCTGAAAGCTCCCACGCCTTCTCGGGAGGCGGCCCGCTCGCCCTGGCCGCCCTGGTGCGCACCGCCGCCAAGCCTCTCGCACGGATGCCCCTCCGCCTCGCCACAGGGAGTCTCACCAGCGGGTGCGCGACGGGCGGGGTGCCCTCCACGCGAGATGGCTCCCTCGTGCACTTCTAACTTGGCCCCCCTGGGCGGGGAGGGGAAAGGGAGGAAGAGGGGCAGAGAAGAGAGGCGACGTGGCTGACCCGAAGACTCCCGAAGACTGCACAGACGGCGGCAACAAGACACAAGAACCAGGCGGTGCAGGAGGCAGCGGTTCCCGTCGTCCCCATCCTCCGCCACCTCCTCCCCCCTCCTTCTCGAACACCCCGTCCCCCTTATCCACCTCGGTCGGTCGGTAGATAAGCGTCGAGATAACGTGAAGCCCATGCTGAGAGAAGGGCGAGAAGCAAGTATGGCGCTGTGCAGCAAAGAACTGGGGAGAGAAGCGCAAGAGACGCAGGAACTCGTCCACCTCCTCCCCCCCATCCCCTGCTCGCTCTGGTATGCCCCGTCTCTTCGAGGCGTCGTCGACAAAACCATGGCCGCAACTGGCAGGGACGCTGGCGGGCCAAGGCGGCCTCCGAGAGAGACTCGAGGAGCAACCGGTCCGCCTCGGGCCCCACCACCGGAGACTTCTCGAGGCCCTGGCGAGCCCGGGCGCTCGGGGTGCGGAGGGGGGGGGGAGGATGGGCGGAGGGAGGAGAACAGGGGATAAGCAAAAATGGGCGGCAGTGGGTGGTGGGGACGAGAGGAGAGGTGATGAGCGTGAGAAGGATACGAAGGTGGAAGAAGGGAGGGGAGAAGGAAAGAGAGAAAGAAGGGAGGGAGAGCAGGACACGAGGAGGCGGCGACGAGCAGGCGGAAGTGGGCAAGCCCAGGGGGATGGGAGTAAGAGCGGACAGATTAAGCAGATGATGAGAAGGATGTGCAAGAGCATGGGTTGTTGGACGGCGCGAAAGGGGAGGATCTTCCATCAATTCGAGGAA